TTTTTCACTAAATATTGGGGTTTAATAAGGAGTTGCGCTAATATTGCGCAACATAAAAATTTGCAACTACCACCATTTTATTCTATAGGGTCTTGGCATTCAGAAAATATATAATGTTGGGGGGTTTTAAGTAATTTTCAGGCCTAAAATGTAGAATATAACATGGGTACAAAAAATGAAAAAAAGGCCTCAGTCATGAAGGGGTTAATACTTGGTAGTACTAACGCTGGCTGCAATTGAAACCTTTTGGGGTTAGGACTTTATGAGCTTTGTGGGGTTATTCTGAGTTTGAGATATTATTATTATTTATTTTTTTATAACCCAACTTTGGTGCTTTTTCAGAACACTGTTATTGACATGTTTTGATAGCTTTTTTTTTTAACCGTTTAATGGCCTGTGTAAATGGGCTTCGATGGCCAAATGTATCATGTTTTTGACATCTGATTTGTCAGAATTCATTGCATGTGCAGTTGACCTGCTTTTACATTCTCTGCGACTTGTATGGGGAGAGAGGTAGTTCTGAAGTGAACAAATGGCCCTTGAGCCCTAATGATGCAGTTTCTTTATATATGTTCTCTTAAAAAAAACAACAAACTGGAGAATTCCAGAATAGGTGTATTTGTTTTAAACCTCTTCACAGTTATATTGTATATAAGTGGACACCACGCAACTTATTAAGTGACTCCTGAAAACTGTTGGTTGCACCAGACCTTATTTAGGGGTTTCACAGTGAAGAGACTGAATAACTTTTATGTAGCAGTTGTACCTAATTTAGAAAACTGCAGATTTTTATCCATATGAACTTTTGTGCATGTTGGTGTCATAAAAACTCAAATTCATTTTATTTCAGGTTGTGACACTACAAAATGTAGACAAATCCAAGCCACAATTGGTGACTGCCCAGGTTATGCAAAGCACTGTATATAGTATCCAACTCTGAAAATATGAGCTGAGATGTAAACATTTTGCTTATACAAAGAGTATGATTATTGGGTATTACTGGTTCATTAAAGGCAGAACAGTATAAAAATGCAGTTCCTTATTGGAAGCAAAATTGTGTTTAAAAATTAAGATTAGCTATAAAAACAAAAAACGTTGCCTGATGTTTCAAGAAAGCAAACAAATGATACCGCATGTATTGCTGTGAGGCATGCTGCTTTTATAGCACAGAAAGTCAGACTATGATGCTGTTAACGCCTATTGCCTTTATGCACAGCAGCAATGTTATGTTCTGAATCTCGTGCTCATTGCAGGCATGCAGTGCTGCTTTGATTTAACAATAAGGCATGCAGACTTTTTGGCATGGGGATGTTCTTGTTTGAAATGAACAGATGGAAACGTTCCTTAGCCTAACCGCTTAGAGGCAGTCTAATTCTGACATTAAGACTCACTTTTCAAATCTATGTTAGTGGAGTAGTTGTTGGGGAATAACCAAGACCACAATTTTAAATGGCCCCATTGTACCGAAGTTGCACTCTTTTAATCAACACTGAAAGGGAAAAGGCCAGTCCTCTACGGTATGCTTAGAATAGATTTTCCTATATTCACAGTTCCAAGAGATATGTTAAGAGTTAGAGAAATATGGGAAGTTTCTAATGTAATGGTATGCATTTATAGGTTTTTAGTTCCTATAAACAGATGTCATCGCGGTAAATGTGATTATGACATAACCACAAAAATAGTCATTAAATCATCTGGATAACAACCAATTGTTTTTTAAATTGTATCCAGTATGACCTTGAAATATTATTAATTGGGTTTTACAGGTGAATTTGAATTACATCGGCTAAGCTCTCTAGGATACATTTCTCAATGCCTTTAGCCAAAACTCTGGACAATTGCAGACTTCCTGGCTTGTGCCAGTGCTGTCATTTATACTGGCACTTGTGCTGACATAAATTAGAGCACATATATTCTGAATATTAATTAACTATGCACCAAAAGCATGCTTTGAGGAACACCTCTGCACATTTTTACTTTCTGGAATAGAAGTGTCCCAAACTATGCCTTTTTAAATGTGTGATTTGAATATGAATCAAAGCTATTTATTGTATAGTCATTTCTAATAGATATATGCTGTAAAATCCACAATATTTATGGAGATTACTTTGTAAATGCTTGCTAGATTTTAGCAACTGAATTGACTGAAACATTGCTGCTGATTCTGTGAAAGAGGGCCTACATTTTAATATTCGTGAATAAACCGTTTGGCTGCCAAAAGATTCTTCTTAAAGTATCTATACCCAAAAGTGTTTTTAGTTATGGATAGAATACGGAAAGGAAAAACCACTTTACCTGTCAGGTTTTTTTCTATCTTCACTTAAAAAAAAAAAAAGAAAATATATTTTTTGGGATGCACTTAAATATAATTTTTAGACAAAAAAGAAAAAAAATTTGTCAGTCCGAAGCCAATCATGACTTTTTTTTTCCCCCAACCTTTTTTATCATTTTTAAAATGTTTTAATTTTTATTTACTTTACTGTTGGGGGCTTTGGAGAAATATCAGGAGTCTAAACAGACCCCTGATATTTCCCTTTTAAAATAGAAAAAGAGATTGAGTCCTAAATCCTTTTTCTGCAGGCCCCTGCTATGAATGAACAGGAAGCCTCTATACTGAGTGTTCCTGTTCATTCATAAACTGTGGAGATAGTATGAGTTACTATGGCCACAATCATGAATGAACAGGAAGGGATGTAGAGCACTTCCTGTTCATTCATATTTGGGGACATAAGTAAGCATCCTCCTGAGTGCTTGTAACCTGCTTGCCTGTCACAGGAGGCTGAGCAGGAGGAGAGCTTGGTCTCCTTTGACAGCTGTCTCCTCCCCGCTCGGCATACTGACAGCTCCTCCCCGCTGGCCGTCAGTCTGTGTCTATTCCGATCCCTGCTGCCTCTGCTGGCACAGGCGGGGGAGAGCATTGGGGGTTGGAGGAGACACAGACCAGCACCCACTGGGTAAGAGTGAATCTAGGGATGCACTGAATTTTTGGTTGCATTTTCTGGCATTTTGCCCATAGTAGTTGTTTTTTCAGCCAAATTTTCGGCACATCCCTAATATTTTTTACTTGTGTCAGTTTTGCTGTGAGCGATTTTCCCTTCACTTCCTGTCCTAGGGACAACCTTTTTACCAGAGAGGAAGTGAAGGCATCTCTCCAATGGATCTTCTGACTGCAGTAAGGGCCTGTTTACACCATCTCTAGACGTTTATCTGCACCAAAAACGCATACACAGGTGATTCCAGTGGTTTTAAATGAGGCTAGTTCAGTTCTAAAAAAGCTTTTTTTTTTTTCTTCTGCTGCACTCTATCCAAAATTGTAAAAATATATACGTTTTGTATATGAATTACAGGGCCCATTCACACTAGGGTGATCCTTCGTTGTACATTTACCATGCACATTAATGTACCACAACAGATCTAAAATCGGATATGCTGCATTTTGGAAACATAAAACAGGTGCATTGGATGCCATTTAGAATGAATGGCACTGCAGTGTATCAATGCATGTAATGTGCACTTCAAACCGTTTTTATTATAATGTATGGGGACAAAATAAGGTCTCAGAACATTGGGGTCGGTAAGAAAATTCAAGCAGTTGTGATCACTTTTTTAACAATTTTAAATGGTCCATTTCTAATAGTATAGTAGAGTAAGAGGGTCAGTTATAGAGATCAACAGTGGATCTGCTGGACTGATAAAAGAATAACTATAATTCTTTTAAAACTATTACTCATTTGTACATGACCGTTTTACATATTTTTGTCACTATAAGCATTATGGCTTGTGTAGACGGCTGTTGATGTCCAACGCAGGCGTTTATATTCGAACATAGCACAGTCAAACACACAGACTGCATTTGTCTTTTGTCTGCAATGCAATCAAATCTCCACTAGGCCAGGCTGAATCCAGAGAAACATAATGCATAGCAGGTAAAAGACAGCTTCAGTCACGGCTCTCTGCAGGGAGATGATCGGAAAGTGAGCGAGCGACGTTATGTGTTCGCTCACTTCCTGATCTATAGAGTCGAGTGTGAGTTTCAATGTCACCCGTCAGCTCTAACTATAAGGATGAGTGTAAATCACACACCTCATAGTTCTCCTTTAAAGAAAACCCTTTTCCAAGGCCCTCAATATCGCTGATCAGCCATGTGTGAAATATAGAAGGTAACGATGCTTGGTTAACCTCTCAGATAAGCATATATCTATTAGGAAAGGCTTTTCCAGGTAATAGATGATTGAAAGCACAGTAATTGTGATTCAAATAGTTGACCGTAACCTGTTTGAAATATTAATTTGATTAATTTGCATGTTTCTAATGAACTGGTCCTTTTAATTCTTCCCACCCACCCACAATTTCTCGCAGACTGTCGTCCTTGATATGATATTCTGGAAGCTTGTGTTCAACCGAGACAAGCAGGGAGAGTCCCACCTCATGGTCACCCATCCCCCACAGGTTGGAACTTCACTGTTCATATGCACTGGGCAGCTTAAACCCTGCGGTCCCTTTTATCTTTTGCATTAGCTGCTATGCAGAGTCATGTGCCTTGTTATCTGTGTGTGTGTGTTCATCTTCCTGCTTCATTTGCAAAAACAGCTGCTGAGATAGACTGGTGAATGTGTTGACGTGCATGGTGTGATTTTGTCAGAGAATCTTATGTGTAACCAGTGCTGCTAATGTAATGCTTCCCAGAGAACTCATTAGGGATTCTATGAAATCTGTAAAGTATTAAGAATGTGTATGTATAATTTTCTTTATCCACTTGGGTTTGGATATCATTTTATGTTGCTTTCTATAGAAATAAAGTGAGACTGCTTTCATGTTTATCTTATTATTGCAACTTGTGTCAGTGTTACCTAGATACAGAACCCCTTAATTCAGTCACTTACTGAATCTGTGCTGCTTCTCCCTAGGATGCCAATGATCGTTGGGGAGGGCGATTCTTGTCCTTTTTGTGCTTCTGGAGAAAAAAGATGCCTAAAGCCAAATACATGCACTTAGCACAGGAACTGTTGGTGGATCCAGACTGGCCACCTAAACCAAGAACTACTACTGAAGCAAAAACATCTGTCGAAGAGAATGGAGGCCACCATGTTGTCACAATTACGTAGCAGTTGCTTTCAGTGGTTTTTATTTTGTTTCCAATATGATTGTCCGATTTGCAGTGCTGGTGAGGTCTGCAGTGCATTGTATAACAGCGGTACACTGCAGAGCCCATCACCAGAGTTTCCATAGTGTCTCAATTCAAGAGTTGGGCATGGTCACCAGCATTGCATACTTAAGTTTTCATGTAACGTCTGAATAGAACCCATCCATCAAAGGCTTCAGAAATGAATTTGATATGAATTTTTATTATAAATGCAACACTGTATGATGTAGTGAACATTGGATATTTATTATTAATTATTTCACTGAAACAACATCATTTACTTCTATTCCTCTTCTTTTAAGTCATTTGGGACCATTGTGTAATAAAGCCTAACTCATTTGTTTTTAGCTCCCTGTGGCCCGGGAATATGCTGAGGTGGTAGTAAAAATTTTAAGCTGTAGGTACAGGTTTACCACACCGCAGATATATTCTTCTTGCTCTCGTATTTAAAATTACTTCTAAAAAGTATGTTGAATGATGATAGGGGTCTGGGTACCCGCCAACGAAGTGATGCACATTACAGCTGTAACTTTTGTTGGGGTGGAAATGGGTTTTGATGATGTCAAATAAATAATTATTTGTAAAGGGGGTGTTTTAAAGGAGAACTATGAGATGAGTGATTTCCACTCACCGCATAGTTCTAGCCGACCTGTGACAATGAGACTGTCACAGGTCGGCTCAGTAGATCGGGAGGTGAGCGAACAGATACCGGCGTTCGCTCACCTCTCGATCCTGTCATGGCTCTCTGCCGTGACAGAGGGGGCTGGATTCCCCCCTCCCTGCTCCGATCCGCCAGCGCTGACTGGCGGAACGGACGGGGGAGGGGGCGGGTACAGCTGGCTCTGCCTCTAGATAGGCAGAGCCAGCTGTCACTCGCGCAGCTGGGCGGATTTCGACATCGATGTCGGGATCCGCTCCGGCTGCGGTGTCTCAGTATACCGCGAGCTCTAGCTCGCGGTATACTGAGCTTAGGGTGATGGGAGGACGCTAGTTTGTGTCCTCCCGTTACCCTAAGGAGAACTATGGGAAAAAGCCCTGACCCCATAGTTCTCCTTTAAGTGGGATATACTAAGAGAAAGAACAATAACCATCCAATAGTGCAATGAGTATGTGATGTCCTATACTGCAACGTGTAAGGTTTCAACTCTCATAATTTTTCAGCAGTTTGGATATTGAGGTTTCATTTTTTGATTGGTTGTTATCGGTTTCTGACTTTACGAAACACTCTTCTTTCAGATTGTATAGTGCATTAAGTAGTCCTAACATCTAAATAATTGTATATTCTCTAAATTAAATTCAGTGTGCCTCTTGTTGAGGGGACAATTCACTTTATAAAAACAATTCACTTTACTTCAGATTAGTAAAAAGGTGAAAAATGATTTTTATAGGATACTAAATCTTACAAGTTGATCCTTCCCGTATTGAATAAGTACTTGTATTCCCTAATCAGAAGTAGAATTTCTGGTCTGTTTGTATATTCTCCGTCTTATTAACCTCTAAATGTTTTGGTAGAGGTGCCTGTGCTTTTAGGAAGTACATCATGGATGACATATTTTGAAGAGGTAATTACAATGTTCTGATTTAGGTAATGACAGATGCCTATGTGCAACCAAGGGAGTAATAATGGAAATGTGTGTGTGTGTGTGTGTTTATTTTTTTAACCCTAAACTCCAACCAGTGCTTGCACTAAAAACCATTTCTGAAGCCTGCGAGATACTTGTAATTTATTTTGAAAATGAATGATACTTTTGTAAATGTATAATGTCACCGAAAGTTAGAAATATTTTTATTTTGCTATATCTATGCATTTCAGACCTTAGAGCTGTGAAATTTGCTGCATCGAGTTCTGATACTGTCTGGGAAATATTTTAACTTCTGTGGTCCTCCAGGCACTAAAGGGTTATAGGTGTGTACATATCCACACAGTTTAAATTCAAGGGTTGGGGGGCGGAAAATAGTATATGTAATCTTGGTAACGCGCAAATATCCAGTGTAAATATCACTCTTGCCCATGCCATACCTAAAATGCTTTCTCTATACCTTGTGGCTGTTTACATTACTGTGCCCAGAAACCTTTCATTAGAGAAATACATTCAACTCGCCATTGTTAACCTCCCTATGATAATGCTAGCTTACCTGGCTTTCATGCTGATCCTCTGACTTTAGTATTTTGTTTTTAGAAACCTAACTCGGAACAGATATGTAAATAAAGAGTTCTGACTTTGCTGACTGCCTGCTTGTTCTGAGTTCCACTGGAAGTCCTGCAGCATGACAGCCAGCAAGCCAGAAACTAGCATTTACTAAAAGGCGGTCAGTAATGGAAGCACATGGGTTTCATTTAAGTTCATAAGCATGTCATGTATATTTCTGTGTAGCATCATGAATGTCATACCTACTTCTTATCTGTAAAATATATTTATTATGTTATGGTAGGTATAAAATCTTCATCTCTTTGAACATATTTCCCCATTCATGACGTCATCCATATAAGATTCAGGGGCAGTCTCATTTCATTTTCTTCATTCTTTTGGCAATGGATAATGCAATGCCTCCCTAAGCACAAAGAGCCTGTTTGGAGGGTTTAAATTTAGTAACTTTATATTGTTTTCATCTTTCCATGATCGGGATCTATAACAGTTTCAAATTGAAGCGAAGCTACTTTAGTTGTTACGGACTTTATTTATGGTTTTTACAGCAAAGCAATTTGTTGCCTTGTTAAGCAGATGATGCTCAAGAGTCGTTCAGCACAGTTATTCCAAGCTTTTGTTTAATGTTAGATTTTTGTCCGTGAGAAATTTCTTACCATATTTATGTTATTACCATTTTCCTTTAGTCTCCATTTGTAAGAAATGACCCCCATTGATATTACTTGCCCAGTCAGAGGTATCGATAGGTTTTTGGAGAGGTCTTTTTGTTTTGCTGAGGCTGCCTACCTGCCATTAGGTTGCTGGATTGTAAATAGTGCTTTTTATTTTAGCAGGTGCTTAATAGCCACGTCCATGAATTGTGATCCTAACAGATGGTATACATTGATTTAAACTGTGTACAGTATTATTTTAAGTTCTTGTTCTATAGTGACAGTGTTCAGAAAACTACCTAGAAAAATGGTTGCTAATGTTTTTCTTTAGAAATGTTGGTTGTGACTAAACATTAATCTTTTCCACTGTCTTTCACCCCTCCATAATCTAAAAAAATTGGAACCTTGGTTCTGATTGATGCTCTCACTCTGCTCGCTGAAGCACACTCAGAAGCCAGGCCTTTAGCGCTGACTGCACATTATCAGACCGCGCTCATCAGATTCAACAAATGTCAGATAAAACATGATAGATTGCTGCTCATCACCTGGCTTTGTGGACTTTATTGATGTGGTTAAAATTTTAGCAGAAATGTAATGTATAAGATACAATCACAATTTGTATTGGCCACAATGTAAGCCTCATCAGAGCAGTTTATCATCTATACATTGTCATCTGTGTTCAGAAATATTATGGCCATGATAGCACTTGTATTTGTAGAGCAGGAAAGCCAAGGGAATTTATGAATCCACTGCACAACAAATCCATTTTCTTAGACATTTTGGACCAATACTTACAATGCTTTCTCGTGGCTTTAGTATTAGTATTTAGTAAATAAAATCATATAAATAATATCAGATTCCACACTCTCTAACTGTAATGTTCCCACCTAACTGCAGCTTTTCAGTAAAAAAAAAAAAAAATAGTGACTTTGATTTAGACACAATAAAAATATTACAAGCTTCGCTAGCTTGCGATATTTTTTATTAGGAAATGAATCTTGGTTTCATTAGATAATGGATGGATTTTATGGATATGATATGCTGTTTTTGATCAAAAACATACACAAAGGCTCAACTAATGTCTTTTTATATAAATCTATGGTTAAGATAACTTCATCAAGTGCCTGCAGTCAGTAATTAATAGATGCATTCCCATGTCTCCATTTTGTTTCTGAATGCACTGTTTGGCAGATAAAGATCTGTGCCTGATTTTAGCTTACTGGAACCTAGAAGGACTGCTTGTGACATAACAGTTTCTGTAATGGTTGTACATACAGGCAAGCTATATACAGGCAAGATATAGTACTGGGACTCCTGGAGCTCACTTTTGAATAAAATATTTACCTAATCTTGTGCAGTATTCTTTTGATGTCAGGCTGAAGTTCTTTAACTATTCATGCTCCACCCCTTACAATTATGACAATTTAGGGTCTGTTTGTAAAATAATTCAAATAGCTTATTTGTAGGGTTGCACAGATACCAAGTACAGTACTCGGTACAAGTACGAGTACATGAACCGATACTTTTGAGCTCCAAGACTAGACTAGAGAAAAATGCAAAAGTTTGGAGGCAGCTGTCATTTGTAAGGAGCACACGGAGCTCCTGGGATTTGTACATCTCTGTTTTAATGTACGATTTTGTTTTTATAAATATAAATAAAGAGATGCACAGATACCAGTTTTGCGAGTACAAGTACTGGTACTTGCCGAGTACTTACAAGTACGAGTACTGATACATTTTTGTTTATTGTCATGTGACAGTTTTTATAAAACAATACAGACTAATGATTTCAGGACAATGGTGGAGCGCCAGAGCCAGGTCCCAGCTGCAACCGCTGCAACACTGGTAGTTCTCATGAAAATGCCAAGTATCTGCACTGGTACTCGAAAAGTATCTGTGCATCCCTAATTATTTGTCCAGTAAAACCGCACATACATTAGTTCTGTGTGAGTTAACCGCTGTTGTGAGAATCAGGCAAAACAAATGTTCTAGTGTATATGCTCCTTTTGGCGAATGTTGTTGAATAGATTAATTCATAAAGTGCACAGTGAAGGGGAAAATACCTCCTTATGGCCACTAGATGGAGCTGAGGATTATAGGAAATAAATACGTACTAGCAATTGTATTAGTAATGAGTTTCAATGTTACAGTTCGAGAGAACACTGGCGAGAATGAGTATATCAGTGTAACCATTGCTATCCCTGTAGAATCAATGGTTACATTCATATGCTCATTCCCTCCAGCGTGCTCTTGATTTTTCTTTTTTGGGCACTTGCAGTGTCAGCTTTAACAGATTTCACACCTCATTCACACCTTTCAAATGCTGCGCTGTCACCCCATCATTTAATTTAAATGGGCGGCAGTTGCCGCTTGTAAATGGCAGATTTAGGATTCCTGCTACAAGAAATCGTAAGTTCCTGCCGCAGGAATACCACCTGAAGTATAAGTGTGAATAAGGGCTTAAAAGTACATTATTCAATCTGAAAAACAAAAAAGTATTGCACCCAAAAAAATAAGTGTTTGAGCTACTTTTATTCTGATCCTAACCCAACCCTTAAGCTGTTAAACGTATCCAACTTTAATCCTAACCATAAAGCTGAACCCAGCTCCTATGCATAAATACTGCATTTAAAGGAAAAAAAATATGTATTGTAGCTTACAAGTCTTTAAATGCGGTGGCTGCACTTGTGTCTATGCACATTTTAAGCAAGTACCAGTTATATGTAATCTTGGTAACGCGCAAATATCCAGTGTAAATATCACTCTTGCCCATGCCATACCTAAAATGCTTTCTCTATACCTTGTGGCTGTTTACATTACTGTGCCCAGAAACCTTTCATTAGAGAAATACATTCAACTCGCCATTGTTAACCTCCCTATGATAATGCTAGCTTACCTGGCTTTCATGCTGATCCTCTGACTTTAGTATTTTGTTTTTAGAAACCTAACTCGGAACAGATATGTAAATAAAGAGTTCTGACTTTGCTGACTGCCTGCTTGTTCTGAGTTCCACTGGAAGTCCTGCAGCATGACAGCCAGCAAGCCAGAAACTAGCATTTACTAAAAGGCGGTCAGTAATGGAAGCACATGGGTTTCATTTAAGTTCATAAGCATGTCATGTATATTTCTGTGTAGCATCATGAATGTCATACCTACTTCTTATCTGTAAAATATATTTATTATGTTATGGTAGGTATAAAATCTTCATCTCTTTGAACATATTTCCCCATTCATGACGTCATCCATATAAGATTCAGGGGCAGTCTCATTTCATTTTCTTCATTCTTTTGGCAATGGATAATGCAATGCCTCCCTAAGCACAAAGAGCCTGTTTGGAGGGTTTAAATTTAGTAACTTTATATTGTTTTCATCTTTCCATGATCGGGATCTATAACAGTTTCAAATTGAAGCAAAGCTACTTTAGTTGTTACGGACTTTATTTATGGTTTTTACAGCAAAGCAATTTGTTGCCTTGTTAAGCAGATGATGCTCAAGAGTCGTTCAGCACAGTTATTCCAAGCTTTTGTTTAATGTTAGATTTTTGTCCGTGAGAAATTTCTTACCATATTTATGTTATTACCATTTTCCTTTAGTCTCCATTTGTAAGAAATGACCCCCATTGATATTACTTGCCCAGTCAGAGGTATCGATAGGTTTTTGGAGAGGTCTTTTTGTTTTGCTGAGGCTGCCTACCTGCCATTAGGTTGCTGGATTGTAAATAGTGCTTTTTATTTTAGCAGGTGCTTAATAGCCACGTCCATGAATTGTGATCCTAACAGATGGTATACATTGATTTAAACTGTGTACAGTATTATTTTAAGTTCTTGTTCTATAGTGACAGTGTTCAGAAAACTACCTAGAAAAATGGTTGCTAATGTTTTTCTTTAGAAATGTTGGTTGTGACTAAACATTAATCTTTTCCACTGTCTTTCACCCCTCCATAATCTAAAAAAATTGGAACCTTGGTTCTGATTGATGCTCTCACTCTGCTCGCTGAAGCACACTCAGAAGCCAGGCCTTTAGCGCTGACTGCACATTATCAGACCGCGCTCATCAGATTCAACAAATGTCAGATAAAACATGATAGATTGCTGCTCATCACCTGGCTTTGTGGACTTTATTGATGTGGTTAAAATTTTAGCAGAAATGTAATGTATAAGATACAATCACAATTTGTATTGGCCACAATGTAAGCCTCATCAGAGCAGTTTATCATCTATACATTGTCATCTGTGTTCAGAAATATTATGGCCATGATAGCACTTGTATTTGTAGAGCAGGAAAGCCAAGGGAATTTATGAATCCACTGCACAACAAATCCATTTTCTTAGACATTTTGGACCAATACTTACAATGCTTTCTCGTGGCTTTAGTATTAGTATTTAGTAAATAAAATCATATAAATAATATCAGATTCCACACTCTCTAACTGTAATGTTCCCACCTAACTGCAGCTTTTCAGTAAAAAAAAAAAAAAATAGTGACTTTGATTTAGACACAATAAAAATATTACAAGCTTCGCTAGCTTGCGATATTTTTTATTAGGAAATGAATCTTGGTTTCATTAGATAATGGATGGATTTTATGGATATGATATGCTGTTTTTGATCAAAAACATACACAAAGGCTCAACTAATGTCTTTTTATATAAATCTATGGTTAAGATAACTTCATCAAGTGCCTGCAGTCAGTAATTAATAGATGCATTCCCATGTCTCCATTTTGTTTCTGAATGCACTGTTTGGCAGATAAAGATCTGTGCCTGATTTTAGCTTACTGGAACCTAGAAGGACTGCTTGTGACATAACAGTTTCTGTAATGGTTGTACATACAGGCAAGCTATATACAGGCAAGATATAGTACTGGGACTCCTGGAGCTCACTTTTGAATAAAATATTTACCTAATCTTGTGCAGTATTCTTTTGATGTCAGGCTGAAGTTCTTTAACTATTCATGCTCCACCCCTTACAATTATGACAATTTAGGGTCTGTTTGTAAAATAATTCAAATAGCTTATTTGTAGGGTTGCACAGATACCAAGTACAGTACTCGGTACAAGTACGAGTACATGAACCGATACTTTTGAGCTCCAAGACTAGACTAGAGAAAAATGCAAAAGTTTGGAGGCAGCTGTCATTTGTAAGGAGCACACGGAGCTCCTGGGATTTGTACATCTCTGTTTTAATGTACGATTTTGTTTTTATAAATATAAATAAAGAGATGCACAGATACCAGTTTTGCGAGTACAAGTACTGGTACTTGCCGAGTACTTACAAGTACGAGTACTGATACATTTTTGTTTATTGTCATGTGACAGTTTTTATAAAACAATACAGACTAATGATTTCAGGACAATGGTGGAGCGCCAGAGCCAGGTCCCAGCTGCAACCGCTGCAACACTGGTAGTTCTCATGAAAATGCCAAGTATCTGCACTGGTACTCGAAAAGTATCTGTGCATCCCTAATTATTTGTCCAGCAAAACCGCACATACATTAGTTCTGTGTGAGTTAACCGCTGTTGTGAGAATCAGGCAAAACAAATGTTCTAGTGTATATGCTCCTTTTGGCGAATGTTGTTGAATAGATTAATTCATAAAGTGCACAGTGAAGGGGAAAATACCTCCTTATGGCCACTAGATGGAGCTGAGGATTATAGGAAATAAATACGTACTAGCAATTGTATTAGTAATGAGTTTCAATGTTACAGTTCGAGAGAACACTGGCGAGAATGAGTATATCAGTGTAACCATTGCTATCCCTGTAGAATCAATGGTTACATTCATATGCTCATTCCCTCCAGCGTGCTCTTGATTTTTCTTTTTTGGGCACTTGCAGTGTCAGCTTTAACAGATTTCACACCTCATTCACACCTTTCAAATGCTGCGCTGTCACCCCATCATTTAATTTAAATGGGCGGCAGTTGCCGCTTGTAAATGGCAGATTTAGGATTCCTGCTACAAGAAATCGTAAGTTCCTGCCGCAGGAATACCACCTGAAGTATAAGTGTGAATAAGGGCTTAAAAGTACATTATTCAATCTGAAAAACAAAAAAGTATTGCACCCAAAAAAATAAGTGTTTGAGCTACTTTTATTCTGATCCTAACCCAACCCTTAAGCTGTTAAACGTATCCAACTTTAATCCTAACCATAAAGCTGAACCCAGCTCCTATGCATAAATACTGCATTTAAAGGAAAAAAAATATGTATTGTAGCTTACAAGTCTTTAAATGCGGTGGCTGCACTTGTGTCTATGCACATTTTAAGCAAGTACCAGAAATGCAGTGTCTTTGGGCTGAATTGAAAGCACAAATATTATCTTCTAAGCTGTCTTCTGTAAACTACTAATTCTCCCCCCATGTACTAGAGATGCATTGCAGAAGACCGATTTGTAGAGTCAATTAGGAAAGTCACCTGTGTGATAATCATGGCTCCCTACATAGATACAGTTTATACATAGCATAGCCACCCAAGGACAGGAAGTGTATTATTCACAGGATCATCAGGTGAACATAAAGGAACAAATCCTGGGAAAGGAAACTAATGGAACCATCACATCTATGGATCAGTAAGCTGCAATTTGAAAACATTTGTTTTTTGGTTTAGATGTTTTTTACCTAAACTTAACATAACTCCTAAACCATCCATTACCTAAAATACTGTACACTTGAGGGCCTAACTCCGAATCCCTGTAGTATAACAAAATAATATGTGCACTATGTAAAAGCGCTCCATAAACTGTCGGAGCTGTAAATACCTGTAATACATAAGGCAAAATAACACAATACCTTTTAAGGCACAAAATATCACATATTGCAAAGTGCCACTTATCTCCGGGGACGTTAAAAGCTGTTGGACCATGTTTTCTAATGTCCAATCGGTGTTACCCCCAAGAGCTCTTGGGTGGTAGGCATTAGCCTGCCACTATAGACATACGCCCATTGACAGGTCAGGCAACTGCCAACTTATGCATGAGCTACTGTAGTTGAACACTTAGTTGAGTCTTGTTAGCTGTGGTTGGAGAGTTACAGGTTGTTGATGCATGCTAAAGGACACCTCAATTAATCAAAACTGGAGGAGCTGTGCATGGCAACCAATCAGCTTCTCTCTTTCATTTTCAAATCTTAACTGAGAGAGAGAGGGAAGCTGATTGGTTACTATGAGCAACTGCTCCAGATTCTGTCTGCTCCAGTTTTGATAAAAGGTGTAAATGTTCTTTTAAATATAGTGAGGGGAATTTTTTTGTTTTTTAAGCTTGTTGGCTGGGATTGGTTTATTATGCTGGGTTCACACCTAGGCGTATCGAATATGCGCGTTTTTACTGCGATTCGCTGTAAAAAAACGCGCAGCATACGCCCCAAAGAAGCTCCTGTACTTCTTTGGGCGTAGGGCGTTTTGCAGCGCGGTCCTACGCGCTGTAAAAGGCCCAGGTGGGAACCATGCCCATAGGCAATCATTGGTTTTCAGATGTTGAGCGTTTTACAGAGCGTAGGAACGCGCTGTAAAACGCCCAGGTGTGAACCAGGCCCTTAGAGTACATCACTCATGTTCCTTCCATGTCCCAAATATTTTAAGTCAAATAATTTTTTCACTTTTGTGCAGCATTGTTGATAAAAAATGTTGCCTGTTTAACCCTCTATGTGCCTGGAGGATTACATTCCTGATGAATGTTTTTTTTTAACTGCCTCACCACAAATTATTTATTTTAAGACTTTTTATTTAACAGGAAATGGCAGCTCATTCTCTTTATTAACAAGGGCTTTAGATAGTGGCCTTCAACCCTATCATGTTGTTGCAGGCTTCTTTAGTTGCAAAGGACCTGCACGCAAATTGTAAAGACTAGTGAACCTGCCTGATAAAAGTTCATTTATTCTGCAATCCCCACGCTGAACAGTTCAGTAACGAAGCAGCTATAAAATATTTTCCCTGTCTTTTCTATGTGTGTTGTGGAGCTAAATATGTATATCTTGCAGATTAAAATTAGTGCACAAATATGTATAAAAGAATTTAGCTTTTGCAAAACAAAATGTGTTTAATATATATATTAATGAAAACTATGTTCTTGTATTATCGAAGAAAACTAGAAGTATCCCTCAGGGTTATTTTATTTTCTTTACTGTAGAGATTGCTAAGAAGCCCAGCAGAATTGCAGTGCTTTGTGTATAAGGTTGAACATCGAGGCTGCTCAATGCCCTCTGATCATTTACCCTCCTTTCATCTTGAGGGGGAAACTCTGGTGAGGGTCTCCGTTGGTGGCTGGGGGCTAACTGCATCGGTCTCCTTTTTCTTAGACAAAAATCCCCCTATGTATGTCAGACCAATGTGGTTTAAAGAGCTATGTTCTGCAGTACAAATTCACCTTTGCTGCTCATCAGTAGTTGACATACTAGAGCAGGGGTAGGCAACCTCGGCACTCCAGCTGCGGTGCAACTGCAAATCCTATCATGCCTCTTTGACAGCCACAGGCATGGCTCTCAGTCTTACAATGCACTATAGGACTTGTAGTTCAACAACAGCTAGAGTGCTACATTGTCTACCCCTGTACTAGAGCAAGTCACTTTTGTTGTAATGTCGGTGATAGTATTGTGCTAACACAAAGGGACTTCGTAAATAGAGCGCAATGGTGTACTAAAACCAGGGGTTGTCAAATTCATGCACGCAGTAATGCCAGTCGTCTGTTTTTTGTTTCTTTTCCCCTTCTAAATCTGATGTTTAACAAGATAATCGTTGCTGTAGCCCAACCTGTGCTTGCTAAAAAATACTTTGTCCCCTTTGTTTCATATAACTGGTTCAGCCTTCATGTAGCTAGGAAGTATCATATCTGTAGCCTTTATTTGATTGCTTTTGATTGTTGATCTTTCCACATTGCATAATGATACATGCTCTAGTACTACATAAGTGGGGCTAATGTTGGTATTTTGTTTTTATTAAGCGACCCGAGTTGTGTTTAACAGCCAGTTAGAAATTGGCTGATAAGTGACTAACATACCTCTTTAATAATTTAAAATGACTGGCAGCTTTCTTCCTTGTGGCCAAGTATATAGCACTGCTGCATCTTGAGCTATCTTTTGATCCTTATTCCTGTACTGATAGACTTTGTTAGTTTCTGTCATATTTTCATTAAAAGAAACAATGCTGCAGTTACTGCATGATGAAAGCAACTGAATTTCCTATCAGAATTCTTTTACTAATGTGTTATAATTGTTTTTATTTTTTTTTCCCCTTACTAGTCCGTCCTGGAGGGGTTGAACTTGCAATTTTTCATATTACATAATGTATTTGTTCTAATTGTTGCAATAATTTATTTTTATTTATTTGTTTTTCTCATCTGTGCTTCAGATTGTGCTAATCTGTGTATTGTTTGATCATTGTGTTTTTGTACATTTATATTGGATAAGTCATGCAGTATCCTTTCTTTGTCAGTGGCAGTTATGTTTTGACTCCAATCTGTTGCACTGTGGGACACATCAGCTAAAGCACAGATCCTGTATAGCCATGTTGATGATGCATTGCATGTAGTGTAACATGGTTTATTTAGAATGCATTGCCAAGAAAGCACAGACCAAAGCGATAAACTTCCAAAGCTTCCATCTTTAGCTTTTCAAATTTTAGGGGCACCTGTAGGAACTATAGCTCTGTAGATGTTTAGCCATGCCTCATCCAAGCATTAAAAATGCCCTTGTAGTGCCGGTCACCATCCCCAACTGCAAGGGTTAATTCTTGATGTCTAAGATAGTGGAAGTTGTAATACTTATTACTTGCTCCCCAGGACTTTTCCGTCCTCTCCGGCACTTTGGGTTGTGGGTGGACTCTCATGTACAATGCAGGATTGCTTGTCCTGCATTGTGCGTGGCAGTGGGGTCGCTGACTAGAGCGCTGAAGAGAAGAGGCTTTGGAGGGGGGACCGGTCACACAGCACGGTTGAAGCTTGTCAGACCAAGGAATAAAGTAACTATTACAGCCTATTCCTCTGCAAGGGTATTTTTTTAATCCCAGAGTTTGGCTTTAAATACAACTTACTCAAATGCTGTTATGCGGGCTACGCAGCTTTCAGTTTCCCTACTCGATTGTGATATATGGCTAAGAGAACTAAAAGCTGTTTAAATATGCAGCACTGGTTGCACAAATCTAATTGCAGCAGGAAATATTTGTCATTCAGGAGTGATTCTGTTAAGTAAAAGTTCACTTAAAATGAGGAAATATAATCTTTTAGCTGGGTATAGAACATACAGCTTTAATGCTTTTGTTTAAAAATGTCCCTTTGCATAATTGGTTACACTTTAAAACTTGTTACCTCAGGACCGATGATAAAAGAAAAAAAAAAACACTAAGGGCATAGGTCTGTGCTTAAAAACAATGATTTGGGGCGATTCACCTAAATTGAATATTCACTAAGTAAATAAGGTAAAGCTGTGTTTTACTTTAGTCATCAAATCATGTACAAGAACAAATC